AGTAGTGCCAATACACAAAGAATTTCCAATATACTTTACGTCAAGGGACAGCTTTGTTCCCTATTACCTGTTTTGTTTGGTTAATGCAAGGTTTAATAAGCTAGGACACATGCATTCATAATAGCAACTATTCTAAAGGTTGAGTGGAATCACTGTGTCATACTCCAATTTGTCACCTTCATATGTAATTGCTGAAGTCTTATAAGGCTCCTGGGAACAATAATAGCAGGCCAACACTTCAACATCAATGAGACCAAAGAAAGCTACCCTTGGGCTCCAGAGTCAGGGGCTGGAAAATCAATACTCTCAATATCTGAACAAATTTTCATTTGCCATTTTTAAGGTGGCTTATCCCATTGAGCAGTTTTGTAAAATTTTTTTAAAAATTTAAATGCCATGATAACCAAAAAGATATTCACAAATGAAAAGTATTTGAAAACAAACTGGACTCTGGCCAAAACAAAGAAGCCTGAGCTGCTTACGCTTTCTCTGATGAGTGTTGGCAGCAATACCTCCTTCTGCCTCTCGTTGTTGTTAGCTGCTGTCAAGTCGGCTTCTGACCCATGGGAACCCCAAGCACAAGGGAAGGAAACACTGTCCATTCTGCCATTCCTGTGACGGTTTGTAGACTGCTGACTGTGACTCTACAGGGTTCCCATCAGGTAATTTTTGGAAGTAAAATTTTCTTCCTAGAGACATAAGATTGGCACAGGATGGAGCAGGGTTTAGGGCTTCTGTACATAGGGTCACTATGAGTAGAAGGCGACCTGATGGCACATAACAACAACAAGAAATCCACCTTAGGCCCTCTGCCCAGGGCGGGCCGCCCTCGGCCCCTGGCTCGGGGCGAGCCGTCGCGGCCCTCAGGGTGAGCTCCTCAGTTCCCAGACTGTGCCATCTGACCCCTGGGTAGGGAAGGAGAAGAAGGAAAAAAAAAAAAAAGAATGCCTAGGGTATCCAGAGAATGTTACCTAGGCCACCTTCTACCACCCTCCCCCCCAGTAAACCTGAAAGCAACACCCTCAAAGCCCTTCTATTTGTAACTCACAAGTTTGTTCTCTCTAGGTTTGCTCCCTTTCCTATAGGTAACCTTAACACTGAGTTTTACTCCAGAATTGACCCTGAACCCAGTGCCAGTGACAAAAAGGAAATACAACTGACAGCTAAGGAAGCAAAGGAGGATGGAGCCTCTGGGTTCAACCAGCCATCCCCACTGGACCCACCTGGGAAAACACTTTGCAGTCCAGAGGGGAGCAAATGACAGGAAAATATCTTCTAACAGAGCAAGAAGGCAAGCAGCTGTAACCCAAGACCACCAGTAAGGTGATAAAGTGTCCTCCTTTCCCCCCTTTACATCTACGCCCCTGTTCAGCATGAAGAAGCCAGAGAGTCGGCATCCAATTCCCAAATCAATAAGACAGCTGGTTTAATTACTATTGGAAAATGCTTGTCATTCCTCTGTAGCATCTGGTCCCCACTGGACCCTCATCATTTCCTTCACCTGCTCCCCACACCAACCAAACTGTACAGCTCTGCAACTGCATCCTGGCCCATCCTCACCCTTCTGCCCCCAACCCTCACCTCCTTGCACCCCCAATATGTTTTTCCCAATAAAAAAAAAGAAAGAAATCCACCTTAATTTTCTTCCTCGTCCATCTTGACCAGGAAGCTCCATTTAAAGCTGCTCAGCAACACAATAACATGTAAGGGTCCACTGGCAGCGGCTGCACATGACATGCTTTCCGCAGTAACTGAATTTGTGGGGAAGGTAAGAATTCTTACCACTGAACCACAACAGCCACTTAACCACTGATGTGTTTTAAGGAGTCTTATTGGTGTGCAGGATTAAGTATCTAACTGAAAGACCACTAACTGAAAGTTCAAATTCATCAGTCACTCCTCAGTGGAAAAATTAGGTAGTTTGCTTCCATAAAGAGAGTTTTCGAAAGGCTGAGTGGCATTCTACTTTGTTCTACAGGGTCCCTATGTGTCAGAAGCAACTCAATGGTCCATATTTTTACTCATTTCCCACCAGACTCCAAGCTCCAAGGAAGAACCTGGCGTCTTCTCATTTCCACTATTAAGAGCATCTAACATTGTAACTGGCAGTTAATGGCCCACAATAAAAACTTATAGATGAATGGATACTACAAATCATATCTATCAGGAAAGATTTCTTATTTTTCACAATTGTCAAAGCATTACTCTGTAGAAGGCGGTATGGCGCTTTCTCAAAAAGTTGCAAATAGAGATACCATTTGACCCAGCAATTCCACTACTGGGAATAGACCCCAAAGAGACCATAACTGACACCCAACCAGATATATGCACACCCATGTTTATCATGGCTTTGTTCACAATAGCAAGGAGCTGGAAACAACCTAAGTGCCCATCAACACATGAATGAATAGAGAAGCGGTGGTATATTCACACAATGGAATACTATGCTGCATTGAAAAACAAGGAACTTGTGCAATATTATTCAGAATGGGTGACCCTGGAGGACATTATGCTGAGTGAAGTATCTCAGTCACAAAAGGACAAATAGTGCATGGTGCCACTGTTGTAAAGCAGGACTGACCTCAGGGTTAGGAGGAGACTGAGAAAGATGGGTTCAATAATGTACTCTGCACTGAAACAGATGAGGGTGAAAACTGTTTTAAAAGGGATATGTGATTAGGTATTTTTGTCATGACAGGGGTCTAGAGAGAAGGCTACATGGTGGAGTCGAACTGGGGGAGGGTTTGTAAAACAACGAAAGAATTTTTCTTTTACTTTTCCAAGAGGGTAGTGTACTAGGGGGGAGGGTTGGGAGGGGAGAAAAGTCCAACAATGAATGAATGGAAATCCAAAGTCTCTGTAAATTTTTACTGAAATTAATAATAAATTTAAATTTAAAAAAATAAGTTAAAAAAAAAGTTATAAATCAACTTGGTTCCAGATGTTATTTATGGTAGAATTAAAAGTATGCCTTCTGATTCTGTTTGCCTATTAATAACATGCATTTGGATAATTAACAATGTGCTAAGTAATCAAAGCAAATACTTACTTTTCTAGTATCTGCTCTGCCTCTGAGCTAAATGAGAGGGAAGCCACTTATTACGTATTAAAAAATGATAACGAGTTTTAAAATATTCTGTTTCAGTCCAGACCATGACATTCAAAACAGTCCCTTTTTTTACTGGACTAGCTAAACCCTAACAGACAGCCCATTTTCAGAACAGATACAGCTGCTGCTCAGTTAGCAGTGAATATACAAGACATTCAAAAGTTTGCCAGTTCCATGTAAGAGGTCTTTTAAGTGGCAGGGCTGCTCATAAGACAACATCTCTCCATTTACTGACGCTTGGTATACCTTCTTCAGGAGCAATGAAGTCACATGGAAGGTTTTTCTTTTAAATCTTTTTTGAAATATGACTGGACACATTTACATAATTCAGAACAAGCTGGTAAACATCCATAAGAACGTATTACATAATTCCAGTGAGTTCAGTAGCATTCTCTATTTAAAGAAGAGAAACCACTGGGCAGAAAAACAGAATCTTCTGTCCAACTGTGGAGCAAGCAGAAGCTCTCTAGCTGATGCTTCCGCGTCTACTGGGTCACGTGACTGATGCTAAACTCACCTCCTCACTATAAGTCAGGACATTTGGAAGCAACTATGGCAACTATGGTCAACTAAGAAGTGAATGTGGGCAAGGAGGAATTCACACACCCAGGTTTACAACAAAACAGGTGGAATTCTAAAGGAGCCAGAAAACAATCATAATGAACTGATATAGTCTTCATAGTTATTAAGGTAAAATTAGCCAGTAACAAGCACTGCAGTGTTTCTAGTGATTGTCCTGTCTGTCTCACTAAGCAGAGGCTCAGATAAAGTGGTCACGGGAGCCAGCTTTCCTTCCCTGATGATGAGAGGCAATCTCCTCTTCTACTTGTTTGCTGTCCTTTATCATTGCTTGGTAGAAAAGAATATCAGAGAAGGAGAGAAAAGGAGTGTGGAGGGAGGGAACCAAAACAGAAGAATGTTCTAGAAGGCATCTGTTATTCTCTAATCAACTGTATTCACTTGTCATCTCCTGTTCTTCACACTATGTGACACAATGGAGCTGATCTTATTCTCTGGCTTCAAGAGGGCAGAGGTGGGTCTTTCATTTCTGTTATGGATTCAATAATCAAACCCAACTGATGCCAGTATAATCTCAGAGAGACTCTTCATCATGTTTCCAAGACTGTAAACATTTACAGGAGAAGACTGCCCGTCTTCCTCCCGAAGAGACGTGCGGTGAATTCTAACTTCTAACCTTCAGTTAGCAGTGCAACACATACTACACCATACATCAGCAGAGTTGCTCTCTGGCTTCTTAGAAGCAGGATTTAAACCAAAACCTCTGAGGAGTAACCACCTAAAGAAAGCTCCACTGAGAGCAACATGGAATCAACACAGAGAAAAGCAGTTCTCAGGGGCAGAGGCCAGGACTTGAGAACAACCTCTGAGCTGCTGGATCTTGCCTCTCCAGATCTCAGCTTGCACCGTTCCACGAGGCAAAGTGTTTAAAGAGGGAACGGGAGACCAACCCAGTTTAAGCTATATTTCAGTCACTTGTAACTAAAAAGGGGCAAATAAACACAGTAGAAATTAAAGTCTAAGGAGAAGGGGAGTAGAAAGAGAAGACTGCACTTTATGGAGTTTGTCCCCTGCAAGTGAAGGTGACATGTAGGGATCTGTGCCATTCTTCATATTAAGCTCAGATCATCAGAACTGTAGTTCTGCCTAATTACTGTAATTAATCTCACCAAATTCTAAATATAAAATGAGCGTGCATGATCTGATGTTCAATGATACTGCAACAGTCATGAAGAGAGGGAATGAGCCACATCGTATAAAGGCTTCTTTTAAGCAAAATCTTTTTTCTTTTTTTTTTTCTTTTTCTTGCCCACAGGTGATCATGACTGACAGAAAGGGAAGGAAAGGTCATAGGTGACAACCCAGATCTTACCTGGCATGGCATGGACAAGGTCGCCACACAGAACGAAGAACTTGGGCTTGGGGTTCAGCTTGTTGATGGCCTGGACGGCCTGTTCGGTCAGACGGATCTCCTGCCCCCACTCATCGCCACCTCTGTCACAGTCCCCCACAGACCAGGCCTTCATCAGTCCAAACTGTGGGTCTGCACCTTGGATGAAGTAGAATGCACCTCTCCATTCTCTTTCCTTTTCTTCATTATAAAGAAAGAAGGATGGAAGAGGGAAAATAAGATTAGATAATCTGTTAGGGACAGCATCCACATACAGATTGAACTGTATCCCCCAAAAGCAACATGATGAAGTTCTAACATCCGGAGCTTGGACTGTGACCTTGTTTGAGGTGACCTTTCTCTGATGATATTATCAGTAAGGTACTGATATTATCAACAGGGAGCTCTAGTGGCCTAGTGGCAAGAAGCTGCGCTGCAATCCTAAAGGCACGCAGTTCAAGGCCATTAGCAGCTTTGCGGGAAAAGGATGGGCAATCTCCTACCCTGTGATTAACTGCCTCTGAAAACCTGCTGGAGGGTCAGCTACGGATCGGTTCCGACTCATTGGTACACAACAGCAATCCTGCCTGAGTACTCAGAACATACTGCCCTCTGGTCAGAATGGACTCACTGTTGACCCTTCTGCTTCCCTTCCAACAGACGAGAAGGGACTGCTCATCTTTCTCCCGAGGCGCTGCTGCTGGTTTTGAACTGTCAGAGGGGCTTGGCCTTTGCATCAGCAGCACAACTCCCTATGGACTACACCTTCTTCTTCTTCTTTTTTAAATTTCCATTCATTCATTGTTGCACTTTTCTCCCCTCCCAACCCTCACCCCTACTACACTACCCTCTTGGAAAAGCAAAATTCTCTCAGTTCTTTCATTGTTTTACAATCCCTCCCTCCCAGGTCCACTCCATTATGCAGCCTTTGCTCTGGACTCCTATCATGACAGAAATCCATAATAATTTTCCCTCTTAAACAGTTTTCTCCCTCATCTGTTTCAATGCAGTATACGTTATTGAACCCATCCTTCTCAGTCTCCTCCCAACCCCGAGGTCAGACCTGCTTACAACAGTGGCACCATGCACTATTTGTCCTTTTGTGACTGAGATAATTCACTCCGCATAATGTCCTCCAGGGTCACCCATTTTTAATAACATTGCACAAGTTCCTTGTTTATCAATGCAGCATAGTATTCCATTGTGTGAATATACCACCACTTCTCTATCCATTCGTTTGTTGATGGGCACTTAGGTTGTTTCCAACTCCTTGCTATTGTGAACAAAGATGCGATAAACATGGGTGTGCATAAATCTGCTTGGATGTTGGTTATGGTCTCTTTGGGGTCTATTCCCAATAGTGGAATTGCTGGGTCAAATGGTATCTCTATTTGCAACTTTTTGAGAAAGCTCCATACTGCCTTCCACAGTGGGACAATACCTTCTGAGCTCCCTAATCCTTTCTGAGTGTTGTGTTGCAACATGGGAGAAGAGGCATGGAAACTGAGTCACAGATTCAGAAAGAGGACAGCATGTCAAATAATTCACACCAAGAAACACAGGGGTCATGAGTGACTGAGACCAGGGAGGACAATGTCCAAGAGCCTGCCAAGAGCGTGAGGCCCACACCAGGAATTCAGACTTCCAGTCTCCAGGATGGCGAGAAATTAAAGTCCTGTTCTGTACAGCCATCCTCTTTGCAGGATTCTGTCATGGTGGCCTGAGGTGGCTCAGAGGCAATGTGAGCGGATACAATCTTTTTCTTAAATTAAGTAGGTCATTTTAATAAGCTGCTGTTCAAACATACCATTTTCCTGTCATAGTCTAGAGGATTTTTGATTTAGACTAATTATGCTTGGGACCTGGTGATTCTCAAAGGCCAGGGATAAAATTGAGGGGAAAAAAAGAAGAGAAAAGCCCCAACCCAACACACGTGGGCTGCTCCAGTCACTCGGCCAAGCTGTTTGTTTAAAACCAAGACGGCCAAAATGCAGCACGGAGGTACAACAGCGCACCACATATAGGATATTAATGTTCAATAAGAGTATCTTAATTAGAATTAAAAATACCAGAGAGTGAGCTCTGCCAGAAGTATTATGTTTAAATTACTAGGTGAAGTGCTTTCAAATCTTTTATGCCAGGCTTAATGGCGCAATCTGCACTGTTTAGGGGGGTGTGACGGGATTTTAATTATAAAACTTGGAGCTCAGAAACTCTGGCTATCTGGTGGGAAATGCAGTGCCAGAAGGGAAATCTTGAAATGAGTTAGTCAAAGTAGGGAGGAAAAATGGATGCGAACATTTCAAAGGCAGCTCAGTGTGGGCACTGTGGGGTGTGAGGGTGGGGGAAGACTGGCAAGGAAGGGATACTTATCCCTCTTAGAAGCCATTCTGGGTCCCTTGAACCAAGACTATCAGGCTGTTTCTTCCTACTGATTCTGCCGGGAGGCAGCAAGCTCTCTCCCCTGACAGCCCTGAAGAACCGTAAGTCAGTACCTTCCTGAGCTGGACTGGCCTAGAGTGGGCCTGGGAGCGGTTGCTTTTAAACTTCTTTTTTTAAAAAAAAAAAATTGGTCACAAGATCTTTTCGGCAAACAGAATTGTTTAGTTTAGGGCAGATCAATGCTGAAATCATTAAAGACAGGACTGTTCCGATGGAGCAGTGGCTGGGGCCTCCCTGGTCCGGGGGGACGTGGGGTTGCAGCAAAGAGAGGAGCCTTGGGCTATTGTCCTTGATGCTGGTCTGCCAACAGAGACAAAACTAACTCACTACATTGAGCCTGATTTTCTTTTTCTTTTTTTATAAAACAAACGAAATTAATTTATTATCCATGTTAATGGAATAAATGCCATTTTCTCTGCACATCACAAAGATGTTATGATTTGCAGAGTATTCCTTGGAATGGCTCTTGCCTGCACGTTTGGAGTCATTCATAAATTCAATAAGCTTTTCACTGTGAGCCCATTACTTACAATGCACCATTTGGGGGGGTGGTCTGTCTGTGGTCTTTGGTCTCATGTTAACTTTAATCAAGGCCGAATTAAAAACATTTGGGGCTTATAAAGCTGAGTTATACGGGTAGGACTTTTTCATAAATTTGTATCTTCTCTACTTGGTGACACAGTAGTTAAAGTGAAATAATGGGAAACCAAGAAAGAGCAGGCCCTGCCCTCATGCAATTTTGATCCCATGGAAGAGGCGGCCGCCAACAAGGAGACAAGCAGGGAGCAGAATCAGGGCTTGCAAGGATGAAGAGGGAAGTAATGACTAACTTAGATGGACAGAGACTCAGTCATTCTATCTAGTAACAATTCTGCAGTGACCAGCAGAGTGAACTCAGAAGTAGGTCCTCTCTTGGCAAGCCTTCAGATAAAACAACACTCAGTGCTGCCTTATGGGAGGTCCTGAGGCTTAAAAGAACCTTGTCTCCACCACGACCAGATTCTTGACCTGCAGAAACTATGAGCTAATGCGTTCTTCTTGTTTCAAGCCACTGAGTTTCAGAATAATTGGCTATAGAGGCACAGATGCCTATGATGCTGTGAGTCAGGCATTAGTGCTTAAGGGTCAGGAAGGCGGCAGGGAGACTCCTTAAACAGCTGACACCATGAAAAACTGAGATTCTGCTTTGTGCTCCAAAGTAAACTGTTACCATGTTTTATTTACTGCACGTCAACAATAACCTTTTTTACACCAATTGATGCTTTTAGCCCTGATGCTATTTCTAAGGCAGTTGGCAGAGATGCTTCATCAAAGCTGGATCAAGTTGGGGCATAAATCAACCTTTGGCAACATGCAGGTTTATAAATTTTCTACAGCAAACATTTTACTTACTTTTCTATAACAAATAGTTATGCTCTCAAAAAAGTTAATGTTGTTGTTGTTATGTGCTGTTGAGTCGCTTGCGACTCATAGCAACCCTAGGTAGTACAACAGCCATAAACTCTGCTCTGTCCTGTGCCAATCTCATTGTCTCTGACACACTTAGCCCCAGTACTCCAGTCACTGAATCAATCCATCTCATGGAGCGTCTTTGCCTCCTGCGCTGTCCTTCCACCTTACCAAACATGATGTCTGTCTCCAAGGACTGGTCCCTAGTCCTTAAAAAAGAACCCCCATGCCCTTTGCTGTTGAGTGACAGTAGAATAGTTCACTGAGTTTCCAGGCCTGAAAGCTTTTGGGAAGCCAACTGCCACATCTTTCTCCTGTAGGGTGGCTTGGGGGTTCAAAGCACTGTCAGCTGAGTGCTTAACCCCTGTGCCACCAGAGCTCCTCTAGAGTCTCTGGAGCTATCAAATCTTTCACTGTGACTTGTTTGCTTAGAATCAGCTGGAGGATGACAAAGTATAAAGTAAATAGATTAAATTTAAAATGAATGACAGCCTTGCATAGCAATCTTCAACCCACCTTTGTCTCCTAATAGAGGCAATTTGTTGACTCAGTATGCTGCCTTCTTAAAGCACCTGTATCCTCTTAAGGTTTCTGCTACAGACACATGTGGTCTTTGGTCTCCCTTTAACTTTAATCAAGTCTGAATTAAAAATATTTTGGGCTTACTATTGTACAATGGGACTGATATCAGGGTTGGGGAAAGACTGTGAAAAACCGGATAAATTATGTATACTGCATTGAAACAGGTAAGGGAGAGAACGGTTTCAAAGCGATATATGATAGGGTATTATGGTTATTACAAGAGTCCAGAATTAAGGTTGCATAGTGGAGTGTATTCGGGAGGGGCGATTGTATACCAATGAAGGAATTTTTCTTTTACTTTTCAAAGAGAAGAGCGAACTGGGGAGGAGGGGTGAGCAGGGAAAAAAGTGCAACAATGAATGAATGGAAATCCAAAATCTCTGTAAACGTTCATTAAAATTAATAAAATATTTGTCCTTTTGTGACTGAGATATTTTACTCAGCATAATGCCCTCCAGGGTCACCCCTTTTGAATAATATTGCATGAGTTCCTTTTTTCAATGCAGCATAGTATTCCATTGTGTGAATATACCACAGCTTCTCTATCCATTCGTTTGTTGATGGGCATGGTGCCACTGTTGTAGAAAGTGACAGACATCAGAGTTGGGGTAAAACTGAGAAAAACTGGATAGATTATGTATACTGAATTGAAACAGATGAGAGAGAGAGCAGTTTAAGGGTGATATATGATAGCATCATATGGCCAACAGACTGGAAGAGATCTATATTTGTTCCCATCCCAAAGAAGGGTGACCCAAAAGAGTGTGGAAACTATAGA